TCTTTTTCCCTCACTTCTTATGATCCTCTCTCTCTTTAACTCTTATTCTCTCATCCTTCTCTCTAAAAACACTATCAACCCATACATTTTATTCAATCCATCAAACTTTATTGAGTTTAGATAGTAATTCTTAAGACTAAAATGACAAGCTTATCAAGGGTTACGTTTTTACTGGTGGAGATCAAAATTCGACAAAGTAGATTTTAGACTTTTCTCCTCTTCTCTCCTTTAGGTAGGGATTTCTCTAATTTTTCTTAATGTAGTTGTTAAACATAGATATGTGGTACTTTGTATTGTATGAAAAATAAGATTTTTGTGAGAAGTGTTCAAAATCCATATAGATGAGGTTAGGGTTTGAGTTGAAGTAGTTGATATTGTGATTCTTGTTTAATATAATGGATTGATGCTATTAGAAGCATGTTCATGATGTTTCAAGTAGAAAATCTTTAAATTTTTTGTGTTGAATATGAGTATTGGAAAAAGGATATTGTTTTCATAAATGTTGAGTACATGTTGACACTAGTAAATTGGGGACTTTGTAAATGAAAGGGAATTAGTAGGTGATTCGAATGAATTGGCTAAGGTTGTGATTATTGAAAATTAGAAACAAGGAAAATAGGTAACGGAAATGTAGTGTTGAAAATATGTATGTAATTTGAAGAGTGTCCCATGATATATATTGAATTGAAAACATTGAGGACGTAACTCATCTTGGTATTAGAACTAATCGGGTTTGAAAATCTTAATCTCGTAAAAAGTGATTTTTATCACAATGAATTTTACATCATTTGGTAAGGACGTTTGTATATAGATAAATTAAGTACTTGCATGTTATGTTACATTTTATGTGAGTAAGGTGTCAAGTTTTTTAGATAGTATTTGTAATCGGTTAACTTGCTTGAGGTCTTATTGAAAACGTGTCTGATCAATGTAATTTTTAGTGAAAATTCTTGAAGAATTTCGAGGCAAGTGATTTTCTTACAAATTTGATTCGACTAGGTGTTGAATATGTTTATATGTGATATGATTACCTGTTAAGTGCGTTTTTGTAACTTAGCAATAATTAGTACAATAATATTACGGACCATTAAATTTTTACCATTAATATCATTATTAATAATGTGAAAAGCATAAAAAAAAACAAAATAAAACAAAACAAAACAAAATTAAGACACAAAATATATGTGACAGTAGATCCCATCCACTGTCACATCATTAGAGCAACCACTAATTAGTGATCTGCATCATTTTTCTAATTAGTAAGTGCCTCGGGAAAGGATAGAGCATTGTTTACTGAGTTTTGGTTTTGTCCTTTGATGGGATATCGGGACGAATGAATAGAAGACGTGGCGAGGGTAGGGGTGCTGGTAGGGGCATGATAGTTCCGATAGGATCCGTTTCAGCAACATCGGCTATGGACAGAGACCTTGCACATGATGATCGTAGATTTTAATTGGTGGATCTGAAGATGACAATAATAGAATCGCTATGTTCAGGAATGATTTAGGGTTCTAAAGAAGGAATTCTATATTTATCATTAGTGAGATAAAAATTAAAAAAATAAAAAATAAAAAAATTGAAGGCATAATATATACTGTAGTAATTGGTGGAATCCATTGTCACATTATTAATGGTGTCTCTAGTTAGAGCTCCAAAACATTTTTGACTTATTTTGGCAGCATAGTTTTTAACCACTTTTTTTGGTTAGTAGCAAAAGCCAAAAGTTGGCTTTTTTGGCCTTTTTTTTTTTCATTTGGGAAGTTGGTTTTTAGCCAACGGTGAAATTACAATTTTACCCCTCATGGGTCAAAATGTGTTACATAGGTGAAGTTGTAAATATTTTAAATAAATGGGGGTAGTTTAGTCATTTTATTATGATTTGACATCATAAACAAATATTAATCAAAAAAGTCAAAAGTCACTTTTTACCAACTTCCCAAATCATTTGTCTAAAAAAGTCAAAAATTTAGTTAAAAGCTAAAAAATTACTTTTTACCATCTTCCCAAAATAAGCCTTTATAGCTATGTTCTTGACTAAATATGGTTTTGATTATATATTTTTTTTAAAAGTTTGGAATTCTTATTTCTATCATCTTTTTATTAGATCAATTCACTTTTGTTAAAGGCTGTTTTTTTTATTCAATTTGAAAACTTGGTTTTGACCATTGTGTACAATATTTTCTTTTCACATCCAAAATAAATTATGATTACATATAAATTAAGAAGAAAAGAGTAATGGATAGATCAATTGCATGAGAGTGATTAATTTTGATTGGTGTCAAATTATGTTACTAGGAAGTTGGGGTTCCTAATGTGCCATAAGGCACAGCAGGCTACTATGAGGCCCATCAATAGCGTGTTCAGAGTCTTTTTCAATGATTCGAACTGTTTATATTGTAAGATTTGTCAAATAGATTATTCATGTAAAAAATCAAGTAAATTAGACATTGGTAGCCTAATAATAAGAACACATTTGTTTTTTAAAAAATAAATGATTAATATGATTTTAATAATTTTTTAAAAAATAATTAGGATTTGATCATAGCGTTACCGATATCTAACTCAAATTAGAGTTGGTAAGACTATCTCGAATCAAATTTATTAAAACGAAGTAGTCACATTTTATGTGACGGGGATTTTTATGTAATTTAATATATTTAATCATAATCAATTAATAACATTATATTAATACACAAACGAATGCAATTTATGTTATACTTTCAATTTAATATCACCATATAAATAACATAATCACTCTCACTTAATTTGGATCGAACATGACCTTAATATCAGGGGATTGTTACTCACACCCACATTTTCCCTCTTATCCCACTTTTATTTTATTATCCAAATTTAACTTTTGAACTTCAATTATTTTTTATGCCAAATCAGTTGATACGCTCTTTCCCCTAACATGTTTGTTTTGAAAAGATCCACCTAAACCTCTTATACTATTTGGGAATATTCTCCTGTGCAGTGGTTGCATACTGAAAATAAATTTACACACATAAAATAAACATATAATATTTATATATCTACAAGTGAAACGGATAATTTAGCAAAGTGTTAAAAACTCATAATTTAAACTCTTAAATTCACTCAAAGTGTTGTTTTGTTGTTTTATATTTTGTTTTTTTATTAAATTTAATTTATTTATTTTTTAAATAACTATCATATTTAGGCCAAGTTTGGCATCCTCCAAAAAATCTTAAAAGTCAAAAAGTCACTATCCTATTTAAGTCACATCATCTTATTTAAGTCACATCACCTCTCTAACACATCACTTCAAACCCAACCCAAATCCAACCCGTATTTCATAAAAAGTCAAAAAGTGCACTTATTTAATCTTCCCAACTTGGCCTTAGTTTAACATGTTTTGTTATAACTATATAAAAAGCAGATATAAGTGGTGGGACCTAATAAGCTAACATAGTAATTGTGTGAGTAATTTTCTGACCACACTGCCCGTTTAGTAATCAGCTAGAGAGCACCGGCAGAATAGATGGTTTCAGTTAACCTGTAACAGAAAGAGAAAGCTCTGACGGTGGCTCTTCCACCCGGGGGCACTCCGACGATCAAGTCAGTATATCTCTCAAAGATATTCAAGTACTAAACTCACTGCTCAAAGCATAAATTGCGTACCTTAGACCCACGGGGGTGCCTCTCTTTTATAGTTTACTTAATCCTAGTCCCACTAGAAGCCTCACTTCTATGGA